GGAGCTTAAAATTGAAAAACTAGCAATGCCACGCATTGGAAGTGGGTGTGATGAACTAGATTGGTCTGAAGTCTTCAACATGATAAAATACATCTTTAACAACACAAATATATCTATCAATATCCACTCAAAGTCTAAATTGTCTGAAGCGGAAAAACAACAAATTATCTCCGAACATCATGCTAACCTGCTAGGAGGTCATCGAGGGTTGAATCAGACAATAAAGCGAATACAGACCCAATTCGATTGGGAAAACATTACTGAAGACGTTAGAAATTTTGTATCCACATGTCAATCGTGTCAGTTAAATAAGACAGGGAACCGTCATGTCAAGCAACCTATGGTAATAAGCACTACATCGACCGAACCAATGGAAAAGTTATTTATAGATGTCGTGGGACCGTTACCAAGAACGGACAGAGGCAATGCGTACATATTGACGATGCAGGATGATCTTACAAAGTACTCGATCGCTTCACCCATGGCCAACCACGAAGCAAATACTGTAGCCTACTACTTTGTCACAACATGTGTCTGTAACCACGGAATACCACAAATGTTAGTCAGTGATCAAGGGACGGAATTTCTAAGCAAAATCATGGCAGAGACTTGCAAGCTATTGAAAGTTCATAAGATTAACACCTCACCTTATCATCCGCAAGCAAACGGAGCTCTTGAGAGAAGTCATCGAACCCTGGGAGAGTATCTAAGGCACTATACTGACAAGGATCAAAGGAATTGGGATGACTATATTCCGTATGCCAAGTTCGTCTTTAATTCTTCCGTTCACCAATCAACGGGTAAACAACCCTATCAACTAATGTACGGACGTACGTTGACCATACCCAGTGCCTGTACTAAAGCCGAAGAGCCTCGTTATAATTACGATGACTACTACTTCGAACTTAGACAAAGATTCCAAGCATCGCATGAGATCGCCAGACAACGTTTGATTAATCAAAAAGACAAAACTAAAAAAGTACACGATCGGAAATCAAATGAAATCACGGTTAACGTAGGTGATTATGTATGGCTAGAAAATAAAGCACGTAAAGGCAAGTTTGATGTAAGATGGCGTGGACCTTACCAAGTGCAGGAATTAAATGCAAATGAAAACGTAACCTTGCGTAATGGCAAGAAGTTAATTAAAGTTCACAAGAATATGATTAAGCCTAACATAACCTAAGCATATAAGCCGCATAATCTATTTGTACATAACCGATTCTACTATTTATAATTAACCAATAAACTTGGGGTATCTTATTCAATAAGAAAAAATTCAAATTCGTTTCCATTATCTTATTTTTTTTACAGATGGGCAATGGCATCATTAACATACGCAAACCTCGAATACTCCATCCGACCATTATTGTCTTCCGGACTTGTGTATCAGCCATTAGGAGACATGCATCCAATAATCAATGAATTCAAATTAGTCACATATTTAAACACTTCCGCTATCACCGTTAGTCAGTTGAATGTTGTCAAGGAGTTAACCCTTCTACAAGGCTTTTGCAATAAATATCTTGCCCAGAACCCAACGTCAAGTTTACACGCAAGCTGTGACTGGATGAGGACTAGCGTCTTAACATTACAAAACCAGATAGATCAGGTTATAGGTGAGATCTTCAATGCAGTTGGTTCAAAGCGAATTTTGGCAAGAAAGAGGCGTGGACTCATTAATGCCGTAGGACGAGTCTCTAAGGTATTGTTTGGTACTTGCTCAGATGAAGATGCAGAATTCTTGTACGCCAAGTCTGCGGAACTCAGTCGTTCTTCTAGCGAAACACTACATCTGCTCGAAACTCAAACTCGAATTGTACGTGCTACGTTTGGTGATTTGAATGTTACCCTATCTTCCTTAATCAAAGAGCGTCGTGGTACGGAATCCAATATCCGACAATTGTATAAGGTTCTTGAGAAAGATGCAGCGAAATTATCAGAAATTGATGCACGCGAACTGCTGGTAGAACAAGTTGCCGTTATTAATCTACAGTTGACCCAAAGCGTATTTCAAGTTCAGAGATTATTACAGCTAGTAAACTCCGCCATTAACGGACATATCCATCCAACTCTATTATCACACAAACAATATGTAACACAATTCCAAGAAATCCAAATACGACTACCAATTGGTTCAAATTTACCCTTCCGACTAGAGGAGTTCTCTATAAGCAAATTAATTCATATTGCTACCATATCAGTGGTCATGGTAGATGACACGTTTATTTTCATCCAATGTATCCCTTTAATCGACTATAATGTGTTTTCAACTTTCAAAATTATTCCATTCCCTATACATGTACAAGATGATATATATTCTTTAGTCACTCCCTCAGTCTCAGTAATAGCCCTCAGCAAAAATCATGAATATTTTATTCAGCTAACGGAAACTCAACTTGAAAATTGTAGAGTCTTGGACTCTTCATTTTTTTGCCCTAATACTCAATTATTGTATACAGCTACGAATACCCATTGCAGTCTTCAACCTTTATTAGGACGACCAATCATACCAACTCTTTGTAATATCCACTATATAACCGTAAAATCCGCATTGTTCAACCGATTGTCTAAAACTAATACTTGGTTGTTTTTGGCCAAAAATTAAAGTGTATCAATAAAATGTAATGATGGTGAACCCCGTACTATAACATTAGATGGTACAGGACAGGTGACACTCAATCAAACATGTAATTTATATGCAAAGCAAATTATTCTCATGCCTTCTCAGATCATAGTTAAAAATAAGTCAGGACCTTTACCTACCTATAGAAGCTAGTTAAAAATCACACTCTTACCACAGATGAAAAAGATATTTTAAAGAATTATAAGTTTCTCGAACCTCTAAATGATAAATATCTCGTAGAAATCGAAAAACATTCCAGATCGTTAAAAGAAATCGAAAGCGAAGCTATTCACTTACAAAATTTTAAATCAATACAAACAAACCACTCAATTCTCACATTAGCAATCGTAATTCTCTCCACTATCTTGCTCACTCTATGTATTACCTTATACTGTTTTGCAAGGTACAAAAAACGCAAGCCTGTTCTGCAGAGCCGTAACTAGGGTGAGGCGAGCGAGGCGCTTGCCTTGGGCGCTTGATGATGGGGGGCGCAAAAATATTAAATGATTGACTTAAGAAAAAATATTATTGACAATATAATATTTTTCATTACTACGCACTAATCCGTAAACATATTACATATTATATTTTTAATACGTTCAATGCCTTTGTCGACGGGTAGTTTATTTTTAGATTGTATATTTATTTTTTCCTCGAAATTACGACGACGTTAATCGGCGATAAGAATAGTATACCATTATTAGTATTTATTATTAGTTATATATTTTGTTATTAGTAGTATATTATATTATATTATCTTTATTTTCCGTTTAATCGACGAATCGATCGACGTACATGCTTAATATCTACATTATATCAGTTGATATACGTACGATACATCAGTTTATAAATAGTGAACAAATGTTGTGTAATTATTACTATTTTAATAATTTGACTTAGTATTTGCTGATCACTCGTTAAGGCAAGTGTGTAACTTTCTATTTTTTTTCGTACAAGAAACAGGTATGTACTTAGTACTTATTATAAATTATTTATACTAAAATAATGTATTTTTAAACTATACAGATACTTTTACTATTAAAAAATAATAATATTAAAAAGAATAATGAATAATAAAAAGAAACGAAGTGGAGCAGAGAATCGAAGTATTAAGAAAAAAAAAGCAAATAAAGACGTACAACTGTCAAAAAAAATGAAAGACTGGTTTTCTAGAGGTTTTGGTTCAGATAAAAACTCGGTTGGAATAGTGTCAAACTTGGAAGAATATCAAGAAAATAAAGGTTAGTTTTTTTTCTAATCAAAAGTTAAGGTATTAAAACTGCTCCGATTTTCTTCAAAGTAGTACCAAAAGATGCAGTTCGTATTTATAATTATTTAAACGATTGTACGTTCGCAAAACCGTGATCTATTCAGAAATAAATAGTATTAATAATCATTAATCTTTATTTCAGAAGAAAATTCCGGTGATTCAAATGACTCATTTCAAAATACGCCAATATTAGTAAGTAAAGAAATTGAAACTTGTGTTAATTCTGTTACTATAAAATCAAGTGAAATAATTCATGATATTTCACCCAATATTCATGAACCTACATCTTCTTCAACTAGTCTTGAAACTATTTTTCAACTTATAAATTCTAACGACCCACCTTCTTGACCCCCAATTACGGATAGTGTTAGAATTTACCTTGTAACGCAAGAACCTGATCAAGGAAAAGATGCTGATTTTAGTGAATCTGTGTCAGACGATGGTCGTCGATTTTCCCCTTATTGGTTTAAAAAAACTTTATCAAACAATGAAGTTATAGATAGAAATTGGTTGATTTATTCTAAAAATAGTATAGCAGTATTTTGTTTTCCATGCTGTTTATTTAAATCAAATACCTCAAAAACAGCAAGTATTGCATGTACAAACGAGGGTTTTTCGGATTGGAAAAATATTAATCGTATTTTAGATCACGAGAAATCGGCTGATCATAGAAGTCATTTCTTACAATGGAAATCTCTTGAAAATAGGTTGAAAAACTCTCAATGCATTGACGATAAATTACAAAAGGCGATTTTGCTAGAAAAAGACCGATGGCGTCATATACTTCGCATAATTTTAGATGCAATTTTATTTTGCACAAAAAATAATTTAGCATTTAGAGGATCGAGCACAACAGTAGGAACTAAACATTCTGGTATTTTTCTGAATTTAATAGAATTACTTAGTAAATATGATAATATTCTAAAACAACATCTTGTAAATCATAACAAGGGAGCTATCAGTTACCTATCTCCAAAAATACAAAATGAATTTATCTGTTTGTTGGGACAAAGAGTTCGAAATAAAATATTATCTAAAATAAAAAAAGCAAAATATTTTTCTTTGTTGTTTGACTGCACTCCCGACGTGTCACATAATGAACAAATGGCTGAAGTGATTCGTTATGTTGATATTCACAATGGAAAAATTACAGTTGAAGAAAGTTTTATAGATTTTATAAACACAGAGGAAAAAACTGGAGACGAGTTGGCTATGGAAATATTATCAAAATTAAAAGCTGATGAACTTGATGTACAAAATGTACGGGGACAGGGGTATGACAATGCAGCTAACATGTCAGGAAAATACCATGGCGTTCAGGCAGTCATATTAAATAAAAACAATTTAGCCACATTCATTCCATGCGCTGCTCACTGCCTTAACTTAAGTGGCGTACATGCAGCATCAGCTAATGTTAAGGTACAATTTTTTTTCGATGTGATTCAGAAAATATATACGTTTTTTGTCAAATCAACCACTCGATGGAAAATTTTAATGGACACATTAAAAATTTCATTGAAAGGTCATTCAGATACTAGATGGGCTTCAAAAGCACAAGCTGTTAAGGCGATGAACTCACAAATAAAAGATGTATTTAAGGTACTACAAAATATTTCTGACTCAGAACTTAATTTGGAAACAAAATCAACAGCTAAAAATTTACTTAAATTGATCAATTTTGACTTTCTCTGTTTACTTAATATTTGGAATCAAATTTTAAGTAGTATAGATCGTGTTAATCAAGCTTTACAAAACAAAAGCTTATCGTTGGAAAAAGCTTCCAATTTGTTATTTGGGCTTAAAAATTCTTTGCAGGAAATTCGCGACACAACTATGGAAGACAATTTTACAAATGCTACAAAAGTTGCAGAAGAGTTACAAATATCAGCAACTTTTAAGGAATCAAGAACAAAAAAAAAAAAAAGATTAGAACTTTATGAAACAGATGATGATGTGATAAATATTTCTGCAGAACAAGATTTGCGAATTACCATTATAGACTCAATAGATATTCTTCTTACTCAGATGAAATGGCGGTATGAAAAAATTATGGAAATTTCAAACGATTTTGAATTTCTTTCCGGTCATTCATTAACCAATATGAGTTCACACGATTTGCAAAAAGCAGCTGCTGATCTAGGACTTAAATATAATGAAGACATAAATACTGCGGAAATAGTTGAAGAAATTAAAGATTTTAAACATGCAGCTTTATCAATTTTGCCAAGTATTGAATCAGTAACGTTTTTGGATTTATTACAAATGATTCACGATTATAAGCTTAAAGAATCGTATCCAAATATTGAAATTGCTATAAGGATCTTTCTCTCAATGCCCGTTACAACAGCTTCATGTGAAAGGAGTTTCAGCAAACTTAAATTGATAAAAACTTACTTAAGATCTACAATGGTTCAGGAGAGATTATCAAGCATGGCCATACTTTCAATTGAAACAGAAATCGCTAATAAATTGGATTATGAAGAAGTTATTGACAAATTTGCCGACACAAAAGCAAGGAAAATATCTTATTTTTTATTGTTATTAATTGTTATTTTGAAATACCTTATAAATTTGTAATTTTTGATTGATTTGTTTACTATAATGTAAGGTTGAAAATTATAAACCTGTGGCTAAAAATATTATTTCTTGTTTTGCTCGAAACCTAATAAAAAATTTACAGAGTTTCCTAATCTTATTATTTTATTGAAAAATAATAAAAACTGGGAGTGTGTCACTCCACCACCCAGGGGGCGCATTGCTAAAGTTCTGCCTTAGGATAAAAAATGGCTCGGTACGGCTCTGCTGTTCTGTACCAACCCCGTGACGTGGTCGCGGAAACGTCTTTTTAGTTAGAAATTAAGATATGCAAAATTGTATTGACTTATGTACCCCTTAAGTTTAATTATAGTAAGTAATTCAATTAGAAATAAGCAAATAAGCACGGAATGGCGGTATTGTAACCCGTGCCCCCGTATGTTAAGAAAATTATAATTATTTAGTTTTAAGAATTGACAGGGACTGTTCAATCTTATGTAGGGAGGGATGTAGTATAGCATATTGCCTAATAGTTAGGAATGTTCGATGTATTATAATAGAATTAGTATTAATATGCGATTGAGCTATGTCGAAACCTCTGGTGTCGGGTGTCCGGGACCCATCCGTTCACACGAGAAAATCGCCGATTGAGTAGTCGGTATTCAGTAGTTCATTCAAGCAGAACCTCTTATTGTTACAGAAACTCTTAAAAGTTAAGTTTTATTTTAATAGTATAAGTTTAATAATAAAAATCTACAATTTATTTTAGTTTTTAATTTGTTATTGGTTATTCTTTCTTTTTGAAAACACCTACTTTTTGATCAACCTAAGATCCGGCCTAATCCATTTACATCAGTTTTTTGTTCTAGAATATTCTTTTGGTCTTATATATAAGGGAGATCGGGGATATCTTATTCACTCACATTTTCACATAATATAACACGTCTTTATTATTACTTTATATTGTATTTAGTATTAGTGAAATATTACTGTTTTATTATTACTATACAACTTGTGTTTAATTCTTATGTTTTGTCTTGATCCACGTACATTAACACCTCAATATCCAACAAAATATATTTGGCTAATTGAATTATTTGTACCAGAGTGCAAAAATTGTACAAAATTAGCACCTCGTTGAACTTTTCTTTGCTGACATTGTAAGATTGACATTCGTGCTCCAACATTTTAAGTCTCGGCAAAATCAATCGTTCATCAATATCAAGTGTTGCGATCACCGCTTTGCCGTAAATTGTATCAATAGAACTTGGACTTTCAATTAAGTATGTTTTTTTAAATTCTATATCACACATTTTGATGTATTTTGAATTTTGTTTTGTTTGGATGCAGTAATGTTGGGCGTGATCATCGCGTTTTTTGGTCACTCTCGACACAATCATTTTTTATGGTAAGTAAGTGAATGGGGTGTGGGGATAGACGTATGATAATTTACATATTTGACGTCTCCGCAGTGACTATATGATAACACACACACACATCATTTTAGCAATTGACGTGTATTTCGTCATTTGAAACAGTTAAAGCACACACCATAGTGTGCTAATGTGACGTCATTTATCGCTATTAAATAAAATTGCCGTGCACTTTTGTGACGTCATTGGATCCGATTAAATGAGGTTTGACGTCACCTGTGATAACAATAGAATTTTAATGCTTATAACAATAGGCCGCGGCATCCTTTGGTCCCATAAAATAGCTGTACTTGCAAATATGTATAACAATAGGTGACCTAGATTACTGACCTACGATAACGATAGAATTTCAATTGTTATCACAATAGGCGGCGGCGTCCTTTGATGTCTAGAACAATAGGTTGTGGTAAAATTGCACTTGTTTACGTCACTGACCTTGACTTTGAATTATAACAATAGTGACGTCATCTATTGTGTCCCAGAACCTACATTTTATAGACTACTAAGGCTATTTTTATATTGCGATTTTGTCCTCCGCATTGATCACTATACTTAATAAGTTGTTGTGTATGTACATAGTTGTTTATGAAATGTAACAAGCATGATCCAATTTCTTGTGATCTTCGCGATGCCATGGATTCTTTCCAGGCATACATATAAGCAACGTATGTAGTTAAATTATGTATACCTAAATTGTATGTACTTAACTGTCCTTTGTAATGAACCACTCCAACAGAAAGGGATGGAGTAGCGAGATTTTTCATTAGATCAAATGCTATTACAGTGACTTTATTAGGATCAGTTTTACATAATTCTACATCAGTACTCTTTCCGTTCCGAGCTGATTCTACTTTTCTAAGATGTAACGTATGTTCAGCAGTTAATTGTATTTTTTCATGTTCAGGAGCTACTTTAATTTGGTTCTTATACATAGCACACCTTTTACAACTGTCTGAGATAGGTGGATGAAAAGATAAATTAAAATCTCTGTTAAATGTTTTTCTAAATGTAAACATAGAAATTGGTTCATTATTTTCTTGTTTATACAGGATGTACATAAAAGAAATATTTAAATTAGGACTTAAATAATTCTTGTTCATATTATTATTTTTTGAGTAATGAGATGTAGAAGTTGGAAATTTCTTAATGAACTCTCTAACTTCAGAAATGTTATCAATAGGAACTTTATTCACAGCACTTCCTTTACCACGGCGATCTTCAGGTGGAGTAGTTCCTTCAAGTTTACCCACTAAGGCTCTAGTAATACGACCATCAGATATGTTAAATGATTTTTTAAAAAAATCTTTACATACTTTTATAGTAATGCCCGTCTCTAATGGCAAATAATATGTACGACTAAACTCTTTACCTGAATCACTATTCTTGACATAATTCCTTTTTTTTTTATAACATTGATGAGAATTGTAGCAACCCTGTAGCCCTGTACGTATGTATTGCAGGCTGTTTGAGTCTTGTTACAATCGTGGTGATAGGTTTTTAGATATTTAATAGAATAACTTCAGAGTAAATCACAAACATTTAATTTAATATACTTATAAAACATGTACAACGACAAACATTTAATAGCATAAGTTCAGTATGCTTCAAAAATATGATGATTAAGACAATTATAAGCCGCTTAAGACTTCAAAAGAAGATGATAGGTAGAAACTTCAAGTGTAGTGTATGGTGGTCCCAGCACATCTGCCCTGCTATGACTGAAGTTCTCCCTTATATGTTGGTCCGCTCGCTGAATGGCCGTGGGAATCCTCGCAATTATCGAAAGTCCGCGTGTGGATGACCTCGCTCGTCCATGGCATCCGCTTATGTCAACGGTGGAGGAAGGGTAGAGGCATGAGAGTGCAGCCTTCGCATGGTCGAAATTGGCTAGCTTCGATGTGAGATTCGCACGGTAGTTGCCAAAACGTTAAGTTTCTCTTAGTGGTTGGCCTCGTGTTTGAGGTCAGCTGTGAACAGAATTGCAAGTTGTCTGCTTTCGCAAGATGCTGTAATGACCTTTTGGGTCTGATGTGAAATCGGCACGTGTGGTACATTCATATTTAGCAATATTTAACAATGAGAAGTTATATAATATAATATATAGATATATGTATATGTTAGTCCTGATAAGTTGTACAATGTAATAAATATATATATGTATCTATTAGCCCTGATAAGGGTGGGTCTGTTACAGACTACATAGATATGAAGTTTGTAGATTGTGACTTCCTTATGAGTAGTATGAATCAAATATATATTTTTTTTTTATCAAATGTAAGTAAATCGTGACATTTTCCATTACATAAGCACTGAACATTTTTATATTCTTTTGCTGGAATTATTTTACCCCTACTACTAATATATTGTTTACCAGAATTTTTTAACGATTTTCTTATATTTCTTTTCCATTTGGTTTCGTTTTTAAGTCTTTTCCGGCCTTTGTTTTCGCCATCACTATGTTCACTTTGAAAATCATCAGCTTAAATCTCACTTTCAGAACTTGTGTCTTTGATTCCGATGGCACATATGATGTTGACGAATATTCATCTTCGGAATCCGTGAACTGAATATTTAGATCTGTAAAGTTTTAATAATTAACATTATTGTATTATTTGTATGAACAATACATTCAATAATATTTTATTACATTAAGACATTGCGAAGCATGCTCTTTAGTCTTGAATAACGGACTCACACTTAAGAAATGTAGATAACTATATTATTCTTTACGACAACACGAATTATGTCATACGCCAACTTATATCGATCATCACGGAATGGAAACCAAACAAAAGTCGGCCGAGAGGAAGGCCTAGACAACGATGGGAGGACCTAGTCAAGGAAGACCTAAGAATGCTAGGAGTACGGAAGAGAAAATTTAAAACAGATTAACTGCTTTACAATGTTAACAGATGCTTCAAATCATGGTGACAAAAAAATATTTACAGTGCTTGTACGTTATTTTGACCCATATAATGGAATATTAGTTAAACTGCTTAAGCTTGAATCTCAGCCTGGAGAAACGTCTGATACTATATTAAATATTTGATAAATATTCTTACCAAATTTAATTTAAAAAACAAACTTGCAGCATTTTGCGGTGACAACACTAATTGCAATTCTGGAGGATCTGCTCGAAGAGGAACAATAATATTTTTCATAAATTACAAACAGAGTTAGGACGTAAATTTATTGGAATTAGTTGTGCTGCACATAATGTTCATAATACTATCAAGACGGCAGTCGATTGCTTACATATTGATATTGAAAGCATACTGTTCGTGTAGAAAGTCTTAAGGAATTTTGTGAGTTTGTAAATATTGAATATAAACAGATATTAGGCTACAGCAAAACAAGGTGGCTAGCGTTAATGCCAGCTATTGAGAGAATTCTTCAAATGTATTCAGGTTTAAAGTCTTACTTTCTAAGTCAAGCAAAATGTCCAGTTTTATTAAAATATTTTTTTAATAATCCATCTTCTGAAGCATGGTAACATTTTGTTCATTCTCAATCATACACATTTCACCAAACATTTTTAAAAATAGAAGGAACTAAAATTTCTGCTATAAAAGTTCTCCAAGAATTAAATGAACTAAAAAATAATTTGCATCAGAAATGTGAACATGTGTTTATTCCTATGTCAGTAAAGACATTATTAAAAAATACAGAATTAAATCAAGCTTCGTTTGAGAAATCTATAAAATAATTGTATCATACATGTAATGAATATTTAGATTTATGGACTGTGCAATTTGAAGAACTTGAATTTATGTCGTGGGTAACATTAAAAAAAGTCCCAACTTGGTCTCAAATTGAAGAAACTATAGAATTTGCAATTAAAAAAAGCTTTTTCTCACCTTCATTGGATTCTAAGTAATTTGATGAATTCACTTGCATTTTAAATTTTGTAACTGATGATACAATATTAAAATGGAATAATGAAAAAGTTCATACTTCAAATAAATGTGTACCCAAAACCAATTATTAAGGGAGATTAAATCCTCCTACGAGTACTATTTTATGAGGAGGAATTACCCCACTTCCTCTAGTTCCTTTTGAATACTTGTCACGCTTTTATAGAATTTTTATCTGGTCACTTTAATCTAGTTTTAAAATAAAAAAATCGAAAATAGGCCGGTGTTGCATTAGAATATTTTTAATTCTGAACAAGATTATATCATTATCTCAATTTATGAATTTTTGTGGGTTAGGCCACTATTGCGCTCAACCCCTCATATTATAAGTGCTTGTTTATTTTAATTTAATAACTAATGTTTGCCCATGTAGCATTGTAAGTTTTTCTTTGTTTTTTTTCCATATTGTTTTCGTTGTTGGAAATATCAGTTTTTATTATTGATACTATAATCATTTGGTGGTAATAGTTTAAAACAAGCAGTTTATATATTTTATATACATATTGTTAGTAAAAAATATTAAAAAAAAAAAACCGAACTCGTTTAACATGACACAATCATCACGCAACGACGGAGCATCATCGGCGTCAGTAAGGACCATCTACTCGCAAGTCATCGGCACTCCGGGAATTTTCGATCAAGAGACGAATGTAAAGATATATTTCGCTCGGCTAAAGAACTTTTTCGCCGCCAACGGCATCACGGAGGAGAGTAAGAAGAGGGCAATTTTGCTATCCTCGATTTCGGAGGAAGTGCATAAAATTCTGTTCAGTCTGTGTTTGTCCGAGGACCCCGACGGTAAGACTTTTGAGTCGTTATCGGTCATACTGCAAAATCACTATGAGGCAAAAAAATCGTATTTTGCCGCCCGCCACCAGTTTTACCTAGCTCGTAAAAACCACGATGAAAGTGTGGTCCAGTGGGGCGCTCGCGTACGCGAACTTGCGTCTAAATGCGGTTTTGGGCCAGAGCTGGAGGTAGTAGTGCGGGACGTATTCGTTGTTGGAATGGGATCCGGCAAGATCCAGGATCGATTACTGGAAGAGGATGCGTCAGTAGCATCAACCACGCTGGTTAAGCTGATGGAGGTGGCGACCACGAAGGAGGCAAACATCAACGCGAGTAAAGAGTGGTCAAGGGAAACGACCAGTGCGCTCCACTTCACCAAACAGAAAGGGAGTCAAGTATACACGACACCGAAGCGAAATGGAGTTAAGCGGTCAAGTGGACTTCACCAGAATGCGGCCACGAGTAACCAAGCCAACGGGAAAGGGAAGTGCTAAGTATGCGGCCGTTCCAACCACGACACCGGATCATGCAGGTTTAAAAATTATTCTTGTAATGGGTGCGGGGTAGTAGGTCATTTTGCCCCTATGTGCAAAGCTAGGGGTACACAAAATAAAGGTACTAAGTATAAGGCGCAAAATAAGTTTTTAACGGTAAAGGAGCGGTCAGGCGATCACGATTCTTGCGTAGATTTAATCGATTCTTTTTTTGCACTTAATGATATTTCCCACGATAAGCTTAAAGTAGCCCCGTATCGAATTAATTTAGCTGTCGAAGGTAAACCCATAACCTTTGAAATTGATACCGGTTCTGTGCACAGTATTATTTCCGAATCGATGTTTAAATCATTAATAGGTCCGAAGGTTATTGTCACTAACGACGTCGAGTTGTCAGATTACGTCGGCAATAGAATCACACCGATAGGTAAAGTCGCGCTCACCGTCACGTATAACAATAAAACAGCCGACATATGGGTGTATATTGTTCAAAACGGGGGACCACCGTTACTCGGTAGAAATGATTTATCAACGCTCGGTATTAATAACGTGTTAAACTTAAAGTGTAATTTTACCGGCGCAGAGGATAGCGTTGAAACGGTTTTAAAAAAGTATCCAAACGTGTTCAGTGAGGAGCTGGGGACTTTTAATGGATACAAAATATCACTAAAAGTAAAACCGGGGATCACGCCAAAGTTTTTTAAACATCGTCCAGTTCCTTTAGCATTAAGGGGAAAAGTTGAGACCGAGATAGATCGACTGTTGTCTATCAACGCTCTGATACCCGTCGACCACAGTGAATGGGCAACTCCCGTAGTTCCAACATTGAAAGGGGACGGTAGTGTCAGGCCCAGAAAAGCAGCATTACACAAAGAACTTAACTAAATTCACCAGGCCTACTGACATAAGTTGGTTCAACTTTAGTGGAGTAGGGGCTGCATATTTATATAAAATAGCAAGCAATGAAGAATGTCTATGTCCAATCAATGAATCTGGGTCTGAATTTCTACCAGAAATGATGTTTCACTCTATTGGGGGAACATTTGGAACAGATTTTGGTCTGCTTGAATACATGACAGGCTTTATGGGTTGGGCTACTAGAAATAAGATGGGTGACTGCTTTAAGAAAATGGGGACTAGTGGGGTTAGAAAGTTCAAGATGTTAAGGATGAATAAATTCTCTAAACTGAGCTCTGCCAATCAAACTGGACTGTTGTCATTATCCTCTAATCCAATCGTGGGAAAAAGTGCCTTTTCAGGGAAACATAAACAAATCTTCACAGATGAATTTATAGAATACTTGGACTCGAGTAAGAGCACTACAACTGGAGTTACTAAGAACATTGAGACCCTGAGGAACTTGCTGGCTCAGACAAGAGAGAATTTAAGAGACCAAATAGCAGCTAACAAAGTGCAAGAACACCTTTACGCCAGAATAGCGGGCGCGAGATATTTTTCTAAAATAGACTTGAAGGACGCTTATCAGCAGTTGGTACTCGACGATAATTCACGCGCGTTAACGACCATAAATACGATTAAAGGTTTATTTAGGTACACACGCGTTCCGTTCGGTTTAAAATCATCGGCGGGTGAATTTCAGAAAGCAATTGAAAGTATCACAAAAAAAAATAGAGGGAGTGGAAGTGTTCATTGATGATATCATTGTATCGGGTAAAACGGTGCCTGAACATAATGCACGTTTGGACCAACTATTAAAAGCACTCGGCTCAGCAGGGCTAAAAGTAAGAGAGCGTAAGTGTAGTTTTTTGCAGACAGCGGTGGAATATCTAGGTCATAAAATAGACAGACAAGGTTTGCATACCTTAGATAAACACACAACCGCGATTAAGGAGGCAGCGGCGCCTCAGAACCGGTCCGAATTAAAAAGCTTCCTCGGGTTGGTAACATATTATACTAAATTCGTTAAAAACGCGGCACGGATTCTAAAACCATTGTACGACCTTTTAAAAGCGGGGGCAAAATGGTCTTGGTCCAAAGAAGCGGGCGACGCGTTTGATAATATCAAATCAATATTGTCGTCTAAACCCGTACTTGACCACTACGATCCGTCGGTACCAATTAAATTAATGGTGGACGCAAGTTCGATTGCGGTCGGCGCGGTAATCTCACAGGTATACGGCAACGCTGAAAAACCAGTAGCTTATGCTTCGCGTGTGTTGTCAGAAGCGGAACGTAAATACCCGCAAATCGAAAAAGAGGGATTAGCGATTATATACGGCGTTCAAAAGTTTTACGACTACTTGTACGCACGCAGATTTACCCTAGTTACCGATCACAAACCGCTCTACCACATTTTTGGGGAAAAGAAAGGTATACCGGTTTACGCGGCAAATAGACTCCAAAGGTGGGCTTATGTACTAACAGCATTCGATTATGATATTTCGTACGTTAAATCTGAGAAAAACGCGGCGGATTACTTATCGCGCATTAGAATAGGCACGGCAGATAAAGAATTAACGACGCCGCGGTGTCTTAATTTTATTTATGACGATTGCCCGTTTAACGTTAATTGGGTCAAAATAAAAACACAAACACGAGTGGATAAAACCTTATCTCAGGTAATTAAGGCTATCAACATTGGTGAGTGGCCCATACACGCGGATAAAAACGAGCTGCTTAAACCGTATTACACGCGTCGTCACGAAATCTCGACCGAACAGGACTGTTTGATGTGGGGGTACAGGGTAATTATACCAAGTAAATTTCGGGTGACCCTATTAGCAGAATTGCACTCTACGCATGCGGAGATGAGTTGTATGAAGGCGATCGCGCGTTCTTATTTTTGGTGGCCTAAGATCGACAGCGACATCGAGAATATGGCACGCAATTGCGAAAGTTGTATGCAGGTTAGACCCGCACCGCCGAAGGCAGTGCTAACGCCATGGAAGTGGCCGGAACACGTGTGGACGCGCCTACATGTAGACTTTTTAGGACCCTACAAAAATAAATTTTTTTTAGTCATAGTAGACGCGACTTCGAAATGGCTCGAAGTGTTCGAGGTAAGCGCATGTACGGCGACAATTGTCATTTTAAAAATGCAAGAACTTTTTGCACGTTTTGGAGTCCCTAAGGTTATTACTTCCGATGGAGCTAAGTGTTTCACAGGAACGGAATTCAGTACGTTTTGCGCCAACGGCGGCATTAAGCATTTGGTAGGGGCCCCGTTCCATCCACAAACGAACGGATCAGCCGAATCAGGGGTCAAATTAGTTAAACTTTTTTTTAAGAAAAATAAAACCACCAGTACTACACTATTGCAAAAATGTCTATTATTTTATCGCAATACACCGCACTCGGCCACACGCCAGACACCGGCGAAATTATTACTAGGTCGTAATATTCGAACACAATTCGATACCTTAATCCCGAGTACAAAGGACGTGGTTAGTGATCACCAGAATTCCCAAGTGAAACGTCACGGCAAACGGCAGCTCGAAATTAGGCAGGGAGACACAGTGGCCGTGCGTGATTACCGAAGGGGGGATAACAAGTGGTCAATGGGGACAGTATCAAACACCATGGGTAAACACGCGTTCGAGGTAGATACCGAGGCGGGCACGTGGAAGCGACACATAGACCAAACCATTAAAATACCAAATAGGGACCTGGGGGTACCCGAAGACGAAGGTCATGATAGTTCGTTCGAACCAAGGGAGGTA